CTGAAGAAGACGGATGTAACTGGATGCAACGGCAGGAGCCTTCCATCTGAGTGGTAGCACCCAAAGTGCACCAGGGAGGGTTCATCTAAATTCATTCTCAGTTCTTTTTCTATTTGTGCAGAGACTGAACAGGACAACCCGGCTTGAGGCATCACCCTTCTTTTGGCTATCCCCAAGAAATTCCATATTAAGCCAACGCATTCACATGCAAGGTTCCCAAATACAGCACAGAGGTGCATTATGAGGCACCTCAAATCTGCTACCTGTTGATTTGGGGGAGGGGGGAAGGAGGGTTAGTTTTTTAAGAGCACACATTTATTTGCAAGATTCCATATGCTCTACACTTTTTTTGTCTTTAAGGTCTGGTCATCTAACTCCCATTGAAATTGGTTGACACCACGATCAATTGCAGAAGACCAGCCTCCCTAAGGTCCAAGTTCAGGAGAAAGAAGCACCAGACCATCAGACCAGGTACGTTATTTCAGAACTGCTGCATCACAAAGACAGCGTTCGCAAAACTACTGAAGTGTCTTGTATATAACTTTTGAAGTTTTGACATTGATTTGCATTGACAAGAAAGAAAACTCAGCAACCAGATGTTTAAAAAAAGATGCCTGGACATGCCTCAAAGTGAGAAGAGCCAAATCTGATCATAAGAATTTTTTATTTTTCCTTCAACTGTATTTTAGTGAGGTTAGTCAGCCTGAAGCCTAGACACAATACCAATACTGTCACACTGCCAACGCATCAGGAACAAACAGAACTGCTTCTGCAAGGCAAGCACAATGCAGTGCTAATTAGCACTGGTATGAAATCAGTCTGAATGCTAAACTGCTTGACTTTGTGCTTTTAATCACTGTCTTAAAGATATCAGCAACTTTTACTCCTTCATACCTCATTTAAAAAAAAATAGAGACATTATGTCCTGTAAACATCAGCCCAGATAAAATATTCTCTTAAAGCAATGTCAGTTTGATTAATAGCTTTATTAAATTTAGAGTTTCAGCATCTGCAGCTGATCCACTGTAGTCCACAGCAATAACCGCTAAGCAATTAGTAGCCATTAGAGTGTGAATAATGCTGTAAACAAAACAAAACAAAAAAATCAACAAAAATGAAGGATTAAAGTACACACTGTGTACAGTGGAAGCATAGGTAACAGCCTCCCTAAACCTTCCGTTTAAAAATCTTTGCAGGTTAGTAGAAATCTGGGTCATCATGTTCTGAAATTTAATCATTCTATACGAGGCAAACATGATTACATCCCTCTGCTTAACAGCGTGAGATCAGCAATTGCAAACTAACTCCTCAGTACTGGCATTTTTTTGGCAATATTCCCCAGGCAGTTGTGGACTTGATTAGCCACCAGGACTGAATTCTCTACAGCAGGAATTATCCACATCTGACGTACCAGCAGAGCTGATTAAACATGCAGGGGGATTAAATAATTCAGGGGGAATTTTTTGTCTTTAACTGACAGAAGCAGAGGTACTTTCCACAGAAGCTTTCTAAGCTATCATGTCAAATTAGCCTTACACTTTTAGGAGAAAAAGAACTTTCAGAAAACATTTTTTTTTTTTTTTTTTTTTTAATATTTGAGAAGATTAACTGCTGAATTCATCTACCAACTCAAATCTGAGACTACCTGGAATCAAACTGCGTTAGATTTAGTACAAGCAATGGACTGTTCTCCAGTTACCGTAACAGACGACTGCAGCTTTAAGCCAAAATAGCTCCCCACTCTCCAACTCTTGGAAACTCCAACTAGTTCCTTTTTGAATATTAAGTATATCCAGACACAACTGCATTATCAGCTAGGGGAAACCAGCTAAATTTAAGAAGTTATTAAGAGACTATATAGATGGATTATTTTTTTTCCGTTCCTAACCACTAGGATGATCTGAAAAGGGTATTTACAGCTCACACCTTGTTCACAACTGTCAATTTTTTCCTCAGGCTATTATTTCTCAACACCTCTATTAAGTCCTTACGTTCTCCCATTGCCCATTCCTACAACCCTTTTCTCCTCCTGTCCTGGTCTGAGATGCCAACACCTTACCTCTGCTACACGGAGGTTCTTCCCTGACTTTTCTGTCTACAAGGCTCTGATGACATAACTCTCTTGCTATTTCTCATCATTTACAATCTTACTCTGCATATTTCAGACCAGCCCCAGCATTCAACATGGAATGCGGAGGATGACCACATGAAGGAAACCAGTTTGGCACACAAATGCTCTCAGCTGCGGGCTGAAGGACCCTTGTGCTGTGGCAGATTACCCAGCATGAAGGCTGCACAGAGGAAAGCACAGAGGAAAGCACCAGGTGGCTGGCAGGTTAGAGTGGCCACTTATACAGAATCAGGAAATCATTGCTTTCTCACCCAGGAAAGACTGATCAGAATCCAGTTACAGGTAATTTCACCTATTGCAGACTTGCTGTTTACTATCACTAATCCATAGGGTTTTCTAGAGTAGAACAAATGTTTTAGTTCTGTTGCACTAAGGAGTTTAGGATAGCATCCGTAGAAATAAGATTCTCTTGTGGAGTTTGCAATTGTCTAAACTGAAGTGAATTTCATTATGAAGCATCTATTTAAACAACAGCCTTTGAGTGATTTTTATAGCAGCCTAAAGCAAGTTTGCTGCTTTCCTCCTGTGATTAAGAAAACAAGTTTGGCTCCCCTAAAAATTGCTGCAACGAACACACACTTAGAGGCGGGGGGGGGGAACAAACCCCACAGATTCTTAGAAGATTTAGAATCATTTCTCATACCAAAAAGATTTATATATGTAGTTAAAAAAAGAAAAGGTTTCTTTTTAGGATGCAATCCACGTTAAATAGTTGTGGGGACAGGAGAAGAAAGTGTTAGTCCCAGAAGGGGAAGGCAGGGCCAGAACACAAGGTAAAAAGGTAAAAACTTGCAGGTAAAAGCAAGCATACCCACCATGCTTAGGAAGGGCTGCTCCGTACTGTACCCAAAACCACACCATCTGTAAAGCAAGTACTTACCACGCCATCCAGAAAAGTTACTGCATGTGGTCAGAGTAAGTCAATTGTATAAAAACCAGAGCATTCAGTTAAGCCAATAATAAAGGGTGTAATAAGTATTTGAGAATTATAGGAGTAGTAAGAAAATTCTTTGGAACAGAAAAACAAGTGTCTCTACACCCAGCTGTTCTTCACAGACTAAGGTTAAAATGCAGGGAAGGATCTATTACAAAATGTAGAAACAGGGAAGGGACAATTCCCGGTGCAATGCAGGTTTAAGCTTTTGGGCAGGAACTTGCTTTTGCTTTCCACAAAGTAATTAGCAAGCAAAAAGTCAAATCAAATCAGACAATCCATACGGGCACCATGGCTAAATTGCTGTCAAAGGCTTATTCAAGATTATTTGTACCTAAACAGGTTTGTGCAGGTCTCCTACATCTGGTGCACTCTTGTGATCTGACAGTCTCACAGAAAGAGCAACAAACACAACACACAATTGAGGAAGACCCAAATCCCGGGTCCATGGGGATTTAGTTATCAGTTTGGCAATATTTGGCCAGGATGGGCTGATCAGCAGAGTTTCACTTACACCTTTCTGGTTCTAGTTCCTGGCATGTTAGAACTGCCATGAGTCTTTCCATTAAGCTCCATCAGCTGTTTAAACAGAGAAGGAATGCTTACTCCAAATACCTTCAAAATTATTTATTTAGCATGGAGAATTAGAAAGACCAAGCACTTACGAGTCATTTTATGAAGCAAGAGACCAGAGCTTTGCTTTGGTAAAGTGTTAAGTCCTTATAATAAACCTCTGTTTCCTCAGCAAAGACCACCAACAGTTACAAACATCAGTAGAACAATGAACTAAAATCTTGCCATCAGAGAGGTGTGATTTTGTTACATTTATTGAGTTTTTCATCATGTACTTTCGGTTGAGCTTATCCTTCCGGGGGTTCTTTGATTGTATTATTTTTTTTTTGTCTCAACGTCTTCAAAAACTATCTTTAAACTTATACAACAACCTAAGAACCAACAGATCTACATTTCTTGGAATTAACATCCTGGCTTGACAGCTCTAAAAGGACAAAAAGGCCTTGGTAGGACGAAAAAAACCAAACAAAACCCAAAATCAACACCACAGCAATCTCTGCAAGCTGTAGGAGATTTTCTTAGCACAAAACCATGAGTTCTTACCTTATGTAAAAAGTACAATCCTGTGCATTAGCTCCACGTGAAATCCTTCCAGTGAACAAAACAAGAAGAACGCTCCAAGGTGCCCAACAAATGGATTTGAAATGGCGTAACAGCTTCCTTTTCAGCGGCCGTTCCCACCTCTCCTAGTGTGTTCTGCAATTACTGAACTGCTCCCTGGGCATTGCACAACTGCGGGAAGAGAGAAGCAAGAGTTATTCTGATTAATATTGTTTTTGCTACACTTCTCCAGGGAACTTCAGGCACCTCAATAGAAATACACCAAGGAACTAATACTTTCTCACGCTTGTTAAAGCATCTTGGGACCATGGTAAAACAAAAACCATTTGGAATTAAGAGTATTCTGCAATTAGTCTGGTTTACTAAGCAAAGCTCAGGCAAATATACTGCCTACATGCGTTCCATGAAAATCTGTAAATCTTCATTAGTCTGGGGAAAAAAAACCCACAGTTGGCTAATTTTCTGAGCAGATTTGGGAGAGCAGCAGAAGTTACTGGAAGGTGACCCAGCAGGATACAAACTCATGCTCATGTTTTCTATGAGGACTCCAATTTCAAATAAGGACTGAGCTATCTCATCAAACCTGCAGTGTAAGTCAAAGCAGTCATCAGATACCCACTGGAAACCCAAAATTCAGTTCTTCCAGAACTTGTGAAGTTATTTTTTACCCACAACAGGCACTTTCCTAGAAAGCAAGTTTTTTTGTCAGAATAAGAGCATGCTTCCATACCCATTTATCAGCGTGCAACAACTGACAAAAGCTATACAACAAGAAAGATACAACTTAAATCTTGTACACAGTTTGATCAATAGCTTGTTTTATTCTTTAGTACATGAAACCAAACAATCCAGGTTTTAAGGCAGCAGAAAAAGCTCATTCCAGTATTTCCTCATTCTTTTTCCTAAAATTTTGCATCTAAAGTCCACATCTTAAAAAGGTATTGTTCAAATTATTATTATTGCTATACAATAATACAAATATAAGTTTTCTTGTGATCGGTGTTTTATGCTTGTGGTACATGTCCCTTGGCACTGGAAGGAATAAACACAACAGAATGCGTTTGAATCCAACAGTAGTTTATTACCCACTCATTGCAGATGAAATTAGACACTTCAGTTACCAGTCACTATGCATTTCATTATTAGTTGACAACTGCAGAAAGTGTACAATGAGTATAAAAATCATTAACAATCATATAACAAAGAATTTGATGTATTAATTTTGAAAACGTCGGTTGTACACTATTATACAGCAACCATTATATTGTCCTCAATTAACTCAGGGCTCACATTTGAAAATACCTTTTTTTTTATAAATAAAGTTCTCGAAGAGGGGGTTACAATTGCATTATTTCCCAAAATACTGCTAACATACAGCTTTATACTATACAGACAAAGCTGTTTTATATTTTATGAACACTTGCTTTTATCAGGGAATACAGTAACAAGAAAAAATCTATACATAAAAAATTAAACTCCAATATGCAATATATTATATATATATCTATATTGTACTACAGATTTCATATAAATCAAGTATAGGCCAAATTTTGGCATCATGTTTAAGTGCATTAAGTTTAATACAAAATCCCCCTCAGACTTTGCTCTTACTTTTCAGGTGACTAGCTCCTGGACCGATCTGTTTCAGTTATGATCTTTTAGACATCTAGAATTGCCTTAAGATCTAATTTCCATTTCAGGAATATCACCCTTTTTCTTCATTACACTTTCTAACAAAAATAAAATTGTGGGAAAAGTTTAGTGACTAATCAAATGCTCCAACTTGATAGGACTTTTTCATTTACATTTACTGGTCAATATAGTTAAGGTTGTATTCTCCTATGTACCCTCTATTCTTCTTTGACCCTACAGGAACAGTTACTAGTTGTACATTGCAAGTACATATTGCTTTGCTTCGTTTTGTTAAATGGACTCTTACCAACACGCAAATTATTTCTGGTGCAGAATGGAGTGCAAAGAAATTTTTTATAATGCATAGTTCAATTTGCCTCAACTCCAGCAGGTGATACTCACTTTTTAGAGAACACCTAAAGAGCTATATCCTCTCTGCCACACAGTAACACATTTTGTTTCCAAATTAAGCTTTGTTTGCCTTTGTTTCAAGTAGTGTTACAGGAAGAAAAAACATTAGTGACCCAACTATTCTATCAATTTGACAAATAGAGTATTTACAGTAAATTTTAATATAGGCTAATATATTCCTGCTCAAACAAAAAGGCCACAAGCTTTCCATTAGAATAAAATTCTGACAAAAAAAGTCAAAGATTCCTCAGAGTCATTTGTAGAATATGGCAGTAAATTGTATAACCTAGACCAAAAAAACCACCCAAGAATCAATTACACTAAGTCGAGTTAGAATACTCCAAGAATCAATTCTGCTGTCATCATTTTATCTACATTTATTCTGGGATGCCATCATTCAGCGCAATTATGGTACAGTGGAGGAAATCATCTATTAAGTGTCACAAATGCAGAACCAGTTCCAGCTCCTAAGAAACAGCTTCCCACTTAGGCCCTTTAAAAAAAAAGAGGTCTTGTAAAAACTGGGCTAAGTACCATGTTAAAAAGAACAATTTCTCAGACCACAAAAACAAGGATATTACGTTTACACCTTGGAAGGCGAGTCCCTTCACACACACCGACACCTTTGTGCACATCAGAGCATGGACACGACCTTCAGGGCTCATTCTCAGTGTAATACACAAGGAACCAGTTGCACAACTCCCCGTGGAGTTAACACGAGTTCAGCCAGCAATGCCCCTTCATACCAAGGAATACTTAAATACCTTATGTATTGCATGTAAAAAAAAACCCCACAACCAAAAGCTCAGTTTTCTATTGAGAAAGCAAATACTGAAATAAAAACAACTTTTAGCACAACAGATGTATTTACTTACAGCATGCAAGGTTTGTTTTTTTTGTTGTATTTGAGCAGCTAATAGCCACTAACAGCCCTTAAGTATTTACAAGTTCAAAGTTACAATCATCACATAAGTAGCAATTGCTACAAGAAGTTCAGGACACTCCCTGGGAAATAAGCGAGAAGTGGAATAAAAAAAATAATACTGAAAGCACTAATAAAAAAATAGTAGCGAAGGAAAACATAATAGCTTTTAAAATCCAGACAATTTAACACTGTTCTGGTAAAAAAAAAACACCAAAAGCGCCACATATTACATTTCGAGATGCCTTTTTAAAAGAAATTCATCTTCCTGTTTTTTTTTTTTCTTTTTCCCCAGGAGAAAAGCCATACATGAGCTTAAAACAATTTCCAAGTAAATAAGCAAAATACAACTCCCCTTAGTTTGCCAATTTACCTTAAAATAGCCTCTCCCCTCTCTCATTTCCCTCCCCCCCCAAAATTTGCAGGGTAAGTGGTAAGGCAAATGCGGTCAGAGGCTGAAGAGCTTCATAGGTCATCACACAGGAGAAAGATGCTTCAACCCCAGTTCATGGTATGAGAAGCAAAAGTAATAGCTCTTTTTTTTTTTAATAAACATGAAACTTTTTTTCAAAAGAATAGGTTCTAAAACTTACCCAAGGTGCTATGCATACGTTAGTTCAGGTCAGAAAAAAATCCTGCTTCTGTGCTTAAGGCAGCCTAAGACTAATTCCAGTCTTTTCAGCCTCTCGGAAAACAGAATTTTGTGCCAAATTACACTATGTGACTGTTACTTTCAGGTTTCGTTTCATACAGTAATCAAATAAGACAAATTTAACGTGTGGCTTTTTGTAATAAATGTGTATTTATATCTTCTATTTGCTTCGATAAAGCCGCAGTATTTATCTCTTTGGGACCATACAACCTGGAACTGAGGACATTGACCAGCAGTGACACATGAATATGTTTTTGTACCGCTTCATGAAAGGTTTCAAGTGTATTTGCCTTCAGAAAAGACATTCAACTACCTTTTAAAGCCATGTTAGATTTATTTATAAATAATTTGGTACCAGCTGATGGTACTAGAAACATTTTTCATGTTCAGCTCTTGGAACAGCCTAGGGCAAAGAAGGTGCTCCAGTTTTGCCTGCTGTTTTGTTGGGCCAGATCTGAAGGAATCTTACCTTCTTATTAACAAAAAGAAACATATTAAAACACAAAGATTTAAGACGGATTTTAAAATTTTTGCATTTCTGTGATTCTTTATTCTATAATAGCTTTCATATTGCATGACATTTTCTGCTAAACTTCCCTCTTGAGCCCTAGCCTCTTATGAAAATAGAATAGTAAAACTTTTTTCATGTAAACTTGAGTAAAGCAGTCGCAGTCTTTGAGACAGGGCTGTAAAGGTGCTGAATAAACATTCTGATACACATTTCCTGCGTACGAGACTACGTAGGTGCATGGAACGTGACATTTTGAAGTTACCCAACGTAATGTATAAAAATATAAAACAGGGATTTCTGAGTAACAGTACAATAAACTACAGTGCAATTTTCCTTAGCCTGTTGAAAGCCCTACCTGCTTATGATTTTTTTCACCCTTTCTAGATCTTCCATAGCAGATTCTATTTTCTTTTAATAGTACAACAGAGCAAGCTCAGCTAGAAAAGACAGCTCTAAGAACACTCTTACGCTGTAAACCTGGAGTTTCTAGAAGCCAAATATGTACCTTAAAAAGTTAGTTTTGCTCACTTGTCTCTTCTATGCTAGGATTTAAACATAGGATATTTAAGGAGAATATGCTCTAAATTTCAGAAAAAGTTATCCTATTATCTTCTCCAGTCCTCAGACTATTTTAATATCATTGGAACAATGCTACTTGCTCAGGGCTTTAAGCATAAGGCATTTTGTGTACATTCCCCTCAGCTATTTATTTAAATGACTACCTTAGTGTGCAAAGCCAAACCAGTGGAAAACCCCCACTGGGGACCTTGGAAACCAATTGACCTTTTACTGCACATTTGGCATTAAACTGCAAAAGAGGAACAGATTGGGGGGAAAAAACCCCAAGCAAATCCAGAAACATGCACTGAAACAAACTACCCTTTTTCTATTAGGTAAGGTCTTTTCAGCTACAGATGATGTTTAACACGCTGTAAGTTCTGACTAGATGTTTGAGTACATTCAGAGTTAGCTTTTCCCATCTTCGAATGCCAGTGTACCATAACTTTCAGTGCTTCGAGGAAAGAGATAAAGTTAATTTTGTTCATTTAACATATTAGCAATTTGGAGATGTGAGCTCCAATGCAAAAAAAAAAAACAATAAAACACCCTTCCAATTACAAATGCTCTTTACAGAAAAATGTAGGCTTTATAGTCTATCTAATCCCTACCCAACCTAATTATGTTTTTCCTGAAACAAACAAAAAAAACCCAATACAAAAGTAATTCGTGTCTGGCCAGGCAGCAAGACAGCTCTTGTTGCAATAGGGCAGTTCCTGACATGGAAAGAACAGACAACACATTGACACAGACCAAATGAAACACAAGAGGCACATGAAATGACAGTTGAAGGGTCATATTCTACTCATCAGTGGAAAGAGGATCATGAAAAGCTGAAAAGTACATAATAATTCAGTAAAATTTAGATATGCACAAACCGTTTATGCATTGACCATGCTGTCTTGACCGCTCACAATCTGCTTCTCAGAGCGATTAAAAGTTTAATTTGATCATTATGTTGTCTTACAGCTATCTAAATTGGGTAAGAGTGATTATCACCTTTAAATACAGTATGTTAATGCATAAAAATACATATATTTTTTCTAGAATAAGGATTATATTTTCTAAGCAAACATCTAAAATGGTCCTTCTAAATTAGTTTGGAACAATAATTGAGGCCCATTTCTTTGCAGAATGGGGTATTTTTATTGTTTATATGTTTAGATAATTAACTTTTAATATCTGTCCACTGTATAAACAATCTCCAGAAAAATATACCCTCTTCCATTAACATACAATACACATTAAAAATACTTACAAAAGGGATTATTGTCATTTACAACATTTTGAGCATAAGGACGCGATTCTTGGGTCATTTTATATCTGCAATTTCCATCAAGCTAAACTGAATATTCCGGTTAACTTGAACCATGCCAGCAATGTGGACAATCTAACATTTAAAAATATCTGCCTAATTGTGTAGGATGTTAAATAAAATTAAGCACTTCTACATCACAGTATATATGGCATTTCTTAATTTAGCAACAAAAAGGCACAGTTATTAAACCATAAAATACAGTACCTGAATCATACATACTCTAGTGATACCTACCAGTGCCAATCCAGACATTTTACTCTGTAGAGGGGGCTAAAGAAAAAGGCTTCTCTTTGGTTTTTTTAGAAAATTCAAACTCATTACAAGTTTGGTCCATTAGAAATGCCTATTAGCTGAAACACCTTGAAGCAGGACTTCAGGAAAGAACAAGAGTAAAGCAAATTTAGCAGTCTGTGGTCCAAGAACTTGAATAAATTACTATGAAATGGCAAACAGATCATGAATGGAGCTTTCCGATTAGCTGTCAGACAGACCTGTTAAAGTGTCAGTGTGTACAGGTACAGCGTGACAGACATTCCGGATACATTCATCGCATCACACACACACACAGACCTTGTTACAGCAATAAATCCAGACGCAGCATTTAGAGAGCTCAGCGCTTCTCGTGGGCTGATATCTGGCTGCTGGCCCTATACCATCCCCAAAGATGTGCAAAGTTCTTTAAATGCTTTGCCCATTACGTATTGCTGTTAAAGTGAAGACCCTGCTGAAGCCAAGCTCACTGGCCCTCCCTTAGCAACCTAGTGCACCTCTTCAAAAAACAACTAGCTCCTTTCTCCCTATTTAAAGTGAGAAAACTGGATCAGGAAAGACCAATAAAATGGAAGAGGGAAGGAACAATAAACATGAGGGAGAACCCAACCATTCCATAGGTAATATAGCGATAGGGAAGCTCCACTTCCATGCGTTGTCTTGCTTTCCGTACGTCGTCGTGTGGTATGCGAAATATTTTACATGCCAGTGGAATAGTGGCTTTTTTCATCGCTACTTTTGTTAACAACAGAACTATTACCCCAATCAACAACCGCAATATGGCTTTTCCAAACACAGTCACAGTGAGAGAGGAAAGAGACAAAGGTAAGGTGTGGGGAGGAGGATCTAGCTTCAGACCCATGATGTAGTTGATGTGAGAGCCACAGGCCACTCCAGCCCCACAGCCCAGTATCTGAGCCGTGTCCCCTCGTGATGTGCTCCAGGTGTCCAGAGTAAAAGAGAAGATGCCCAGGGCTAAGTGGAGACTGATGATAATTAAGGGTGCATATTTGTAAGTTAAGTTGAAGTTATCAATCAGGTCCACAACTGGATGGAAGACAATCAAGATGAGAATAGCATACAGAAATCCAGCAATAACATCCTGTTGAAGAGAGAGAAAGATATGGTTTCAGTGCAATGAGTATTTTAAAAAATAATTTAAGTTACATTAGCTTGGAAACGAGCCTAGTTGCTCTGCTACTAAAAGCGACTTGTGGATTTTTTTTTCTTTTCTCATTTACTATATAACATTTAATCTTTATGAAGTTAAAGTAAGGAATTGCATTTGATCACCCATTAACAGGACATCTGTCTCATGATCAGATGATGACTGATCCTGGTCACAAGTAAAGCTACATTCAAATGATGCACGGTCAAACCTATCTGCTGGCTACAATCTTCCTTGTCGAGGACTGGGGCATCCCAGCCTACAGCCAGCACAAACCTAGCCCAGCTAAACAAATTCTGCAAAATTCCAGTTTGATGGAACGGCTCAATGCTGGATCCAAGTGCCAGGGTGCCAACACACAAGCACACTGGTGGCAGCAGGTGGTAAGGTGGTGGAGGACCACGGCAACTAGGCATCAGAGCAGCTTAGGATTTCCACTCCAGCTTCAGAATTAACAATACGGCAAGAATGAAGAACCGCTTCCAACGACTAAACCAGAGGAAGAAGAAACTTCTGTGGCTTCATATTTGATTTTCAGTTTTATTGTTGTTTTAAAAATGTCTTAATTAAAAGGTTAGCCTAATTATTTTTTAATTTAGCATTACACTTCAGTTACTGTTGATTAATCACTCGGTTGCACAGAATTACCTGCAACTTTTTTTCACTTTTAGCTGCTGTGGAATTTGTTGAAAGCTTTTTAGAAATCCAAACACTAGAAACCAGATTACCTTAATTCACCTGCTTATTAACTTTTCCATATAAGCCAGGAGGTGGGACCTTCGTCATCAGTATTTCTGTTGCTCTGTTTTCAATTGATCATTTTAATTCACTTCCACTAATCCAACGCTTGATAAAAAGCTCTGACACAATCAACTGGTGCAAGAGTCAGACTTGCTCGTTTCAGAAGCAACCGTGACAACTTTCTGCTATATTTGCCACCCTACCCTACTCCCCAAACTTAGGCACCATGGTTAATTTGCATTACAGGTAACACATGGTTAACTGGATTCATTCAAACACTATAGAGGATTCAGATATGAAACTGCTGAATAACCTAGTCTACATGATGTATTGCTATTTGTTGCATGGCTTTGGGAGCTGAAACACCAATTCATCATCTTCCATGTAAGTGGTTCTGACTTGCGAAGCTTCCTAATCACTCATGCAAATATGTCATTAAGTTTGTCTGAGCAGCCTTTTTACATGCCCCTCGTACACTGCGTTCATCTACCAGCTTTACTACTCACTCCCAGGCTTACTGTTTTCTGTCTGATAGTTACTCTCCTTCTAGCAGGTGATCCTCAAAAACCTCTTTAGCCATCTTTATTAGCGGTCTTACATTCTCCTTACTATTTTGCAGTGCTCTTGTTTTCCCATTTTTGTATTGTATGCATCTGTGTTTTGGTTTGATTTCCCCCCCCCCCAATCGTTTTTAATAAGTCAGTCTGTTTTTTCAAAGATGACAACTGTGTTATTTGGTTTGTTAGAAGTGAAATCCTAGCATTTAGCGTGGCACTCTGAAACACACACGGTTTGAGTAGCTGACATGGAACCCAAGTGGATATTAACAACCACGCTTTCATCCTGCAAAATTATGTCTACTCTTTAGAGGAAAACGTAGCCTTTGCTTTAGCACAGTCAATTTCTGCACTAACACTACTATTAAACATCAGCTAAGTTTCAACTGTGGATTGAGTTTATGAAAAAAAAAAAAAAAGTATAAATTAACAGAAGCCTGACATCCACTTTTAGCTGCAGAAAAAAAAAAAGTAGGTTTTCTCTTCCTATACTGTACAACATTCTAAAAAAAAAAAAATATCTACAACTATTGCATTGTAAAAATTCAAGTGTGATAGAAGTTTATGAAATCAGAACAACGTTAAAATAGAAGTTTAATAGAATGATTTTCTTACCAAAATTGAATGCATTCCCATATAAATTCGACTACAGCAAACCAAAGAACACCAGCAGAATGCAAGGATCAGTCCAAACACAAGGGGATACTGGTAGGGAAAAAATTGAGAGATTATATTAGGATTAAAAATAAATCAATAAATAAATCACTCCATAAGGATTCTAGAATTAATTCCAATTAATGCAACTTATGCTTACCCTTTTGTTGCCCTAACCTGCACAAGTCTATTAGACCACCTCAAAGAGTCCACTTTTCATAAAGTCAAACCATTATTAAGTCAAACTCTTTCCTTGTCCTCTTCCGCTGCATTCAGGATATATGAATTTCAGGGCGTTGGTCATGTCTTTTTAGACAAAGCAGTAAGAAGCTGATAGATCTTTGTAGCAGTTAGTCTTGCCATGTTATGATATCCTAAATTTGCAATACGGGCAGAGACAAGCCTTGCATTAGAAACCATGGAACAGTTTTACACTGGGTGAAGTGGCTACATAATAGACTAGTACTGATAACAATTATCCAGTCACAATCTAGTAGCTTCACCTCTCTCCTGCAAAGGAAGAGCTCATAAAAATTTGCAAATAAAGTCAAGTCCTTACACAGTGTTTAAGGATTCCTGTGATTCTTGACTTAATCTCTGAGCATCAGTATGAAAACTCCTAGAATAGTAATCTTTTTTTTGGTTCTCATCCCATATAGATTTCCTGTTATAATCCATGTTTATTAAACAAAAATATCAAATTGTTATTTCCATCTTCTGACAGTTTTTTTAATTATTATTATTAAGGACTGTTTACCAGGAACAAACAAAATACTTTACTCTAATAAGCACATATCAACATGTGTAGAAACTCAGTATTTTAACTGTCTTAGGTTTTGGATAAAAGTGTACTAATTCACATCTTACAGCACAGTAGGAGATACTTTCCCCACTACCATATTGCAAAATGCTGTATAAGACAGGACACAGCTTCCTTTTTTCAGTATTAAAAATAATGACGAGTTCTATAAGAGAAGCAGTCACAAGACAAAATGGCATGTTTCCAAAATTGCTTCAACTTCCTACATGACAACAACAATAAACATTTTCAACATAAACAGACAGGCCGGATGCACTGGAATCTCAGAATAAAAACTAAGAATTACAGTTTTCTTGCCCTTTCGTGGATAACTTGAAAGGTAAAATATCCAACAAATTAGAGAAAGTACCTTCACTCTTACTGGAGAAAGTTGTATGTTCTCTGTGAAGGCCACTCAACTGATGAGCTTCTAAATCACTCTTTCAGTTATAGGTTTGAGAAAAGTTTATCAATATTCTGCGTTATTCCAACATTCTTTGAATTCTCAGCTCCAGGACCATGTAGCACGACAAACCCAAAAAAATGTTCTCAAACTAACAGAAAAATCGGGAAGCTCGTGTTTCACATACAAAACACATTTTACATTAAAATCAATTCTAAATGCCCAGGTCACAGTTCTGTTCCATCTAGTTTAATTTTTAATTCCTGTAGCAACATTTGTCTTGGTTTCTGCTACCTTCATCTACAAATTGTGCCTAAACAAAATTAGGTACTCGAGTCATTTCTATGATGATGAAGGATCACATTCAGTTTTCTGCCTTTCAGAATTCTGCTGATAATGGGCAATCCACCACTCACTGGGTCGTCCCTAAGACGTGATTGCAGAGTTCCCAGATGCTGACATGGCCAGAGCAGCCACAGAAGCAATCTTTGTACCTTGTGCTGCGGCACCAGGATCCATCACAAGTGGAGCCCCATGGCTCATCCCCGTTATGCCTCAACCATCATTGCCATCGATCTGAGGGTAGAAGTCCCACTGTCTGCTCCAGGAGGATGCTCAAGCCACACAACCTCCCTGCCTGGTGCTGCTCCACTTTTCCTCCAGAGGACTACCAAAGCAGAAATGCTGTACATACACAGGGATAGGTATATCCTATATCCCCTGAAGTAAAGAAGGGCTTCTAGCACCTCTTTATACACTCCAGAAGATGAAAGCCTGGGAGGACAGACTTCTTGTTTGTCAGAGACTAACCAGAGAAGATTTACTGCTTCCAGAAGCAATGCAAACCTCTGGACCAGGAAATGTAATAGCATCATAATTACTTGGTGGTAGAACAAGCTTGTATGTGTACACACACATGTCAAAAGTTTCAAATGGTTTTTGCCCATCACTTAATACTGTGCCATCCATTCTTTTTTCCTGGCACCCATCCTTTGTGCTTTCAGGCTCCAATCAGGGGGTAAGGTGTTTCTTTAATAAATAAAGACTTTCTCCATGTTTCTGAAATACCTGACAGAAACAGAAGCTGGAGCTTTAGTGGAAAGACCAACTAAGTGCCAGGCTCAGCAGTCCATAGAAGCTAACGATATTGTGGGTAAAAAGTTGGGAGATGTTAGAGCTGCTAAACAGCAAGACCCTAAGAACAATGAGCGTGAAGCAAAAGGTGGGAGAAGTCTTGTTTTAAGAGTCCTGGGCAGGTTGTTTTGAACAGCACGGAGAGTAGCATAAATTCTGGGAGTGAAAAGAAATGCTTACTCTCAGCTAGGAACTCTCAAGGGAGGGGGTGTTTAAGAAGGAAACTGTCAAAAACTTCAACTTTGAAGGAAATTTTGGAAAGAATATTTGGCTCTGTGATATCTCACTCACTCCAATTCTATTTTTAATAGTATTGAGAATAAATACCCATTAAACCATCTGAAAACACTGGCTAGTTTAGTTCCTCTGTAGCAAAGTATCCCATCATAGAATCATCCAGGTTGGAAGGGACCTTCAAGATCATCTAGTCCAACCATCAACCTAACTCTGACCAAAAAACCCATCAATAAACCATGTCCCCCAGCACCATGTCCACCCATCTTTTAAATACCTCCAGGGATGGTGCCTCAACTACTTCCCTGGGCAGCCCATTCCAAGGCTTCATAACCCTTTCTGTGTAAACATTTTTCCTAATATCCAATCTGAACCTCCCCTGGCACAACTTGAGGCCATTTCCTCTTGTCCCATCACCTGTTCCTTGGGAGAAGAGACCAACCCCCCCTGGCTACACCCTCCTTTCAGGGAGCTGGAGATAGCAAGGTCTCCTCTCTGCCTCCTTTTCTCCAGGCTGAACAACCCCAGATCTATCAGCCTCTCCTCATAAGACTTGTGCTCCAGACCCCTCACCAGCTTCGTTGCCCTTCTCTGGACCTGCTCCAGCCCCTCAATGTCTTTTTTGTGGGAAGGGGCCCAAAACCGGACACAGCTCTCGAGGTGGGACCTCATCAGTGCCCAAGTACAGGGGGACCATCAGCTCCCGAGTCCTACTCCCCACGCTGTTCCTGACACAGGCCAGGATGCTGGTGGCCTTCTTGGCCACCTGGGCACACTGCTGGCTCATGTTCAGCCCACAGGCCACCAACACCCCCAGGTCCTTTTCTGCCAGGCACCTCTCCAGCCACTCTGCCCCCAGCCTGGAGCGCTGCAGGGGGTTGGTGGGACTCAAGGGCAGGACCTGGCACTAGGCCTTATTGAAACTCATCCCAAGAGCTCAAACGCTTCCTGATTGTATCCTCAGTAAAAAGCCAAATTATACATTTAACCCCATTTCATATATTCTTAAAGTAATGGCGAATTTTTGACTTAAACTCAGTCAAATTATTCTTACTAAAATAGATTTAGCATGACCTGTCTACAAATATGTTTGAAGTATTAGGCATATGCCAATTTATGGTATTTTTAATGCATGATAATCATAACCACTGAAGTCCTAAACCCAGTTTCTTTCCACCTGAGAGTTTATTCACTATAGTACACCTAGCTGTAATTTTTTCAGTCCAATGCAAACAAAAAAAACCCCAGAAGATACAAACAATTATTCTTATTTCCTCTAAAATAATATCCCTCAACACAACAGTTGAGTTGATTTTTGTGACACCTCCCACCAGACCAGGTTGCTCCAAGCCCCACCCAACCTGGCCTTGAACACCTTCAGGGATGGGGCAGCCACAGCTTCTCTGGGCAACCTGGGCCAGTCTCTCTCAGCAAAGAATTTCTTCCTTATCTAAATCTACCCTCTTCCAGTTTAAAACCATTAATCCCTTGTACGAAGTCCCTCCCCACCATTCCTGTAGGGCCAATTTAGGTACTGAAAGGCTGTCATAAGGTCTCCCTGGAACTGCCTCTTCTCCAGGCTGAACTCCTCCAAGTCTCTCAGCCTGTTCTCATAGGAGAGGTGCTCTAGCCCTCTGATCATCTTCCTGGCCCTCCTCTGGACCCACTCCACTAGGTCCATGTCCTTCTTATGTTGGGGGCTTCAGAGCTGGATACAGTGCTCCAGGTGGGCCCTCACCAGAGCAGAGTAGAGGGGCAGAATCACCTCCCTCACCCTGCTGGCCACGCTTCTTTCGATGCGGTCCAGGATGTGGTTGGCTTTCTGGACTGCAAGCACACATTGCTGGCTCATGTTTTACTTCTCATCCACCAACACCCCCAAGTCCTTCTCCTCAGGGCTGCTCTCAACCCATTCTCTGCCCAGCCTGTATTTGTGCTTGGGATTGCACCAACCCAGGTGCAGGAACCTTGCACTTGGCCTTGTTGAACTTCATGAGGTTTATGTGGGCCCACCTCTCCAGCCTGTCCAGGTCCCTCTGGATGGCATCGCTTCCCTCCAGCGCGTGGACCACTCCACACAGCTTGGTAACTTGGCAAACTTGCTGAGGGTGCTCTCAATCCTACCGTCCACGTCGCCGACAAAGGCGTTAAACAGTGCTGGTCCCAGTACTGACCCCTGAGGAGTGTCACTCAAAGCTGGGTGTACCCTTTGGGGCTCCATAGACAGTAGCAGCAGTCAAGCAGAAGAACTGCCCCCCTCTACTTCAACAAAAAAATAACACACAATATCCTGTCTTCTCCTTGGTGTATTTTCACTCATACCTTTTAAAAGCAGCTGCTGGGTTTAAGAATTCCTAGAACACCAAACCAGTATCACCTGCTTAAAATCTGCCTTGAGGTGATAAGGCAACTGGGTATTTTGTCCTCCCATGTAGGGATAAGTGTACAGGGTGACTAAAGGAGAATATTAGCACTCCCACA